ATCGACTCGAAAAAATAATTGGATTAAAAAAAAAAATCCTCAATAAGGATATATAGTACAGATAAATTTAAGAGTTTAATAAGGCAATTTATTATGCCTACCTTGCAAGATGGATACATTAAATAGGAACAACTTAAAAGAGGTAAATCGTGAGTTATATAATTAGTCAACCGCTCAATGGATCAATCATTATTGCGTGAACCACGATAAAAAAAATACATAAATTACATAATTCTAACTCATAAAGTACATTATTAGCTTACCCAATAAATTTAATTCTACACATAAAGTACATTATTGTGAGATTCGAACCCACACATTGCCACATCCCATCATAACCCTTAAATCAGATGATAAACTAATTACTCTAAATCCCGAGGCTCGATATTATTTATTCTATAGATGAGTGTTATAAGTGCTCAAATCTCAATTACTCCTCATGATTCAAAAGACGGCAAATTATGTTGTGCAACCGTGTGCATCATACATGGTGCACAGTTGCACACTATTCCATGTTCATAATTACTAAACTATATATTCGTAATTATAAATCTATATATTCATAATATTTGAACTTCATATTCATAATTATTGAATTATATATTCACAATTACAGGACTCTATGTTCATAATTTTCGATGTTCATATTCCCAATTGTCGAACTCTGTATTCACAAATCACAGAGCTATATGTTCATAATTTGATAACTATACAGTTTAGGAATTATGAATCTGTAGTATATAAATTATGAATCTACAGTACAGATATTATGAATCTGTAGTATAGAAATTATGAATCTATTATATTTAAATTATGAATCTACAGTTTAAAAATTATGAATCTACTATATTTAAATTATGAATTTATAGTATAGATTTTTATGAATCTACAGTGTAAAAATTACGAATCTAAATTCGAACCGTACACTCAGTTGCAAAGCATAATGACTCCCAAAAGACACCCTAAATTTTTGACATATATAAATGAATAAAAAAATATAAACAATGGAGAAGTCAAAGGTGGAACAGGTCAATCGAAGTTGACTTGGAAAGTAAAGAAGTCACTTTGTTGACTTTGCCACAATAACAAAGGATATTGCTATTTGCACCACCTTTTAACTAAAAAGTGAGTATAAAGTATTTTAAAATGATAAAAGGTGAAATTTTTTTTAATAATTAATAGGTGGTGTAAATAATCAAATGGGGATACATTTTACTATTTATACCACATGGTCAAACTTGCAATTAATAATTTAGCAATTTAAAATTTAATTAATTAACAAAAAAAAAAAAAAAAACTAAACGTCACCTTCTCCGGTGAGAAGGCACCGGAGAAGGCAGCTCAGTGGGTCGCCTTCTCACCGGAGAAGTGAGAAGGCGACCCAGGTAGATTTTTAAGATCATTTTTCGATGGTCGGAAATTCTATAATTTTCAGCAAAATTTACGGTTGAATTAGCAACAATAATTATTTTTGTTATTATTATTGTTGTTGAATTGGTCCCATTGTCTGTCGCCAAGAATCTGGTCCAACAAAGCAAGAAGCTGACATTTTTATTGTACGGTTTTACATCTGCGAATTAAGAACGGAAGTTTTTTTTCATGTTTTTTCGATAGGTTTAATTTTGAACAAAACTGGTGATGAGATATTCCAAATCTTTTTAACATTTCCAGTATAATTAAAGTATGTTTACTCAAAAAAAAGTATGTTTACTCAGGACTTAGGAGCACCTAAACCCAAGGACAATTAATTGAGACTTCCATGGGAAAATACTAAGCTGGTTGCTTTTGAGAATACGGAACATATATTTTTGTCACGTGGTATGTATTTATTGGATTAAAAGAATTAAAGAAAAAGAAAGTCTCGTAAAAAGTGATCGAGTTGATAATGTACGTTCTTGTACCTAAAAGTCATTAGTACGTTTAATTTGTGTTAATATCATTTTAGTCAAACCCGTTGCATGACTCCTTATTATAGAGGAGTGGGGTTTGTCCCATACACTTATTACGCCCATTAACCGAACTGAATTTTGACTAGACCCATTCAAAAGTTCCCCCAACATTAAACAACCTTAACAAAACCATTAATTTATATAATAATTTATTGCCATTTATCTACTAAATATCGAGTACAAGAAACCTAACATACAACAAGTGGATATATACTCATGCAATAAATGAGCAAAGACTTAACATATATAAATGATCTGATCTCAATGTTAGAATAGAGGGTTTAGAGATGTTAATTTATCTCAATAATGTTAGAATGAAGCTAGGGTTCAGTGATGTAGAACTTGGGAATAATTCCTTAATTGTCTTATTGGTAGGGTTCTGATCTCAATGTTAGAATAGAGGGTTTAGAGATGTTAATTTATCTCAATAATGTTAGAATGAAGCTAGGGTTCAGTGATGTAGAACTTGGGAATAATTCCTTAATTGTCTTATTGGTAGGGTTCAGTGATGTAGAACTTGGGAATAATACCTTAATTGTCTTAAGTTTGACCAATAAGAGAGAATGTGATAGAGATAATAATCTTCAATAATTTTCATTGGTGTTCCTTAAACATATTCATAGGGAAGCCAACACTCATAACGGTTAACTTACAATGCACGTGAACTCGATCTTGCCAACTCTGATCGATCTGATCTGGCTCAAGTCAATACCTCATGATATCTAGTCCTGCATTGGCTACTAATTGTATATGATGAGTACATGAGATTTCGAGAGCCCATTTTACTTTAGCTAGCCAACAAGACTGAAACCTATGAATCATCATATAATCTATGGGTTAACAACACAAGCATTAAGCACCCAAATCACTCAAGATCTTGTGTAGTGTGTGTACTAAGGGGCAAGAAACTCCAGTTATGCATGGAAAGTGGCTGGAGAACACGTGTTTGACCAAGAATGAAGCTAGGTTGTACGATGTCATACATCTCTGACCCCTTCAATAATATAAATATGGTGCCTTGTTTTCCTTTAGAAACCACCTCTTGGTTCAGTGGTATGGGTTCCTAGCCTTTTACTCATACACCAATGCTATTATTCCCCTGGATTATGATATTATTCTTACTCCATTCTTTGGGCTATAACTTCTTGTTGTTTTGGGCCAATATCTTGGGCCTATCGCCTGAGCAATTTAGGCTAATATTTCGAACTTAACGCCTGAATAATCACCCGATCTCGACAAAATTATCAATAAATAAAATAAATATTAATTTTTTCCATTTGTATTTTTGTGAATAATTTTTTTTTTTTTTTTTGTGAATAAAATATAATTACATACATTATATTCTTTCCATTTGATTCCAGAACCCCATTTTGTTCTAGAAAGTTGCGACAAAAAAGGTCCAACAATGTGCACATGGAAGAGGAGTCAAACCTACGCCTTTGAAGGGAAATTTCATCCGTAAATTCCACACTACAGCGTAACGCCATGCCATGACGGAGTCAAAACTTTCATTTTGTTTTATTAATTATTATTATATTCATTCTTTTGAGAAATCCTTTGACTTCCACTGTATGCCATTTCTTTTTTTTTTTTTTTTTTAGTCAAACGGAGAGAAAACACATAACAACCCTAGAAAGAAATTTGTGAACGAATATAATATATGATTATCAAAACAGAGTCATAAAATCTTAATCAGTTAATGTTGTGTGACTGCAATATTTGAAAGGAATTTGTGAATATAAAACAAGGTAATCAATTATATATATATATATATATATATATATATATATATATATATATATTAACATCACCAATGACCTGGTTAATTAGTGTGGATGGAGCAGGATTTTGGTGCGATCATGCGTGATCACGGTGGGAAATTTGTGGCAGCTTGTTGCGGTCAGTTGGAGTGTGGTCGTGAATGATTCATATTTGGCAGAAGTTATGGCGGTCATGGAGGCTCTAACCTGGTTAAAAGTTTGTGGTTTTGATAATTTAGTAGTAGAGTCTGATTGTCTTAATTTTTGTTCTCGTTTTATTTCGTCTTCTTTGGATCATTCGTATGTTGGTCTGGTTGTTAAGTAATGTTGGTGTATTGCTAGGGACATTGGGAACGTGTCTTTTCACCATGTCAAGAGGTCAGCGAATCATGTTGTTAATGTTTTGGCACGGGCAACTGGTTTCTTTTCTGTCCCGAGGTCGTGGATGTCTGTTCCACCGTCATGTATTTCTCGTTTGGTTGATTTCTAATGCATTATTTGCTTCCTTTTAAATAAAAACATCTGTTCTTTAAAAAAAAAAAAAAAAAAGACATCACCAATTCCAATAATCTTGTAGTATAGTGGCATAAAATGGTTCTCCCAAATGGGAAGTCATAGATTTGAGCCTCAGTAAGGACGGTATTGACTCTTTGTGACTCAGTATGTTGAGAAAGTAACTATGAACAGATACTACATTATATCATAAAGATATTAGATCATCGGTGAGAATTTAGTGGGCAGGCACGGGTATAAACCTTGCTCCCAAAGACCACATGCAACAAACTCAATTAAAAAAATATTGGAAAGAATCCACTCTAATCTAAGTCATTAGGGAATGTTGAGGTTTTGTCTTTTTTATGTCTCTCCTCCTGTCAAAATCTGTTGGTTATTCATTTTTTTTTTTCATTATTATTTTAAGTTCAACTAACATTCCGTCTCCAAGACTTTCAATTCCCACTGTTTCCTTGAAAATCAACGTTAAAACCCTAGCCACAAAAAAAAAAACTGAATCAGTAAACTAAACAAACTTTTCCAAATTCACACGTAAACAGTAGTTTCAATCCAAGAAACATTCCTCCTATAAAACCAAGAACATCAACCTCGGACACCCCGAACACAGCCCTATCCAATTAAGCTAGAAACTAACAACACAACAGAAATTAGAAAAGATTTGTTCTAGGGTTTCAATTAATACTAGATCGAACAGAAAACTAATTTAACCAGAAAGGATTCAAAAGATCAGAGCAACATGCAACGATCTTTAATGATGAATCTTCGGCGCCAACTGGTGATGAGTCGCAGAAATAATAACGGAAATGCCATCGCGGATAATGGACGAAAATACTGCGACGTTTTCATCAACCACAGAGGGATTGACACGAACCGCGGCGTGGCGTCGCTGCTGTACGATCATCTGGAGCGGTTTCGAGTCCGATGTTTCTTGGACAACAAGAACATGAAGCCTGGGGACAAGCTGTTCGACAAGATCGACGGCGCCATTAAGGATTGCAAGGTCGGGGTGGCCGTGTTTTCTCCCCGCTACTGCGACTCCTATTTCTGCCTCCATGAGCTCGCGCTCATCACGGAGTCCAAGAAGAAGGTCATCCCCATCTTCTGCGACGTTAAGCCGTCGCAGCTCCGCGCCGTCGACGACGGAGCTCTGCCGCCGGCTCAAATCGAACGCTTCAACTCGGCACTTGAAGAAGCCAAGCTCACCGTTGGACTTGCTTTCAACTCTCATCAAGGGTAAGTATACTCTATGTCTCTATATATACACAACTAACATTTCTAGGGTTTTAATTTGATTGGATATAACCATATATATATGTTATACAAATTAAATAGACTAAATTAAAGGGTTTTGGTTTGCAGGAACTGGGCAGATGTTGTGACAAATGCTGGGAACATAGTGATGGAGAGTTTGATGGAGATTGAGGAGGAAAAACATAAGAGAAAATGAGATTATGAAACTTGTGCAAGACGGTTTAATTTCACAAGATCGATTTATTTCACACAAGATTAATTTGATCTCTTATGTCTAATCTTACACAATTATTTAACTGGTCGACTTATGCAGCACCAACAAAATAATTATTTTCCAATTTAATTCATTTAATTTATTCTATTTCATCTTTAATTTTTCACATAAGAATTTGTCATGTCCACAATTTTTTTTTTTTCCACAAAGTAATAAGACTATGGAGTAGTAGTTTCTACTCTTAATTAGCTTCATTCATATAGCACTTGCAATTGAAGGATATATATATATACTTTTGTTCAAATGCCGCCGCCCATCTCGTGCGGCCGCTTGACAAAATATACCGACAGTGTTATCAAAAGGCACCAATAATGTTAGGAAAAAGCACAACAATAAAATGTACAATTACACGAAAAAACACACAACACATCCAAAAAAATGCACCATAACTCCCCACACCCTAATTTTGTATTTCCAAACACTGTGTGATGCTTTTACTCAGACCTAATGGTGCGTTTTTGGTGATGCGTACCTAATTTGTGCATATTTTTTGTTGTGCATTTTTTAACATGAATGGTGCATATTTGTATAACTATTGGTGTGACCGCACGAGAATGCACGGCCGCACCTAAAATCGAATATATATACTTATTAGAGCTGATTAAAATGTTCATGCTACATCAATACTATCTTCCATAAAAATAGACCACATTATAGAACATGCATATGTTTAATGAAATTTAAACTCCGTTAAATACCAATTATTTAGATTTTGATCACAAAATATTGAACTTAGCTTGCCTCTACTTACCAGTAACATTCCTTGTTTGATTAAAGTTATTCATAATTTGTTTTTCTTTTTGTAATATTCAATTAGGAGTGACCACATAAGTGGTTTTCTCACAATTGTTGAGGAAAGCATGACATATATATGGAGGGGAGAAAAATTTTGAGGTCTTCCGATCCTGCAAGAGTGGTTTTTTATGGGACCCGCCAAGAGAGAAAGAAGGAAAAGGAGAGGCACACAACTGTGTGTAAGCTGCATAGACCGTGCCCGTTGGCGTGTTTGCAGCTCCTGTTTTTTTCTTTTTTTTGGATGTCAAACTGCTTTTTATTTTTATATTTTTCTTTTTCATTTTCCTCTATCCCTCCCCTCTCTCTTATTTGGCACTTCAAAAATCACAAAAAACCTAAAACTTGTGAGGATGGCAACTCATAAGTTATGGAGATGAAGAAACATTAATTAAATAAAATAACTGGAAAAAAAAAAAAACAAGAATAGGTTTGAGTGATTTGATTAATGAACAACAAACAATACAAGTGAAATGAGACGGAGATAATCACATATAAAATACAAGTAAATTATTTAAAGTGGTTTGTTGACTATCGCAATTACCCCACTTTTGATCCTCAACTTCCAATTTTGTCATATAATGTCATTGACTATCAAATTTGTATATATTTTAGTGACTAAAATAGGTACAAATTCGATAGTCAAAAACATTTGTAGACAAAGTTGAAATTCTTAGAACCAAAATATGAAGAAAAAAAATAAAATGAACTCACTAATATTGTGGATAAACCATCTGGGTATTTTACTCTACAGATCAGAATGAAGGGCAGTTGAATTTGTTGTTTGTATGTTGTTGCAGAGGAAGTCCCTGTACCATGTTGCAGAGAGCTTGGGGAATCGATCGAGCGTGAGAGGTTCAACATAGTACAGCCCAAATCTTGTTTCAAAGCCATCAGTCCATTCAAATGAATCCATGAAGCTCCAGATGAAATACCCACGCACATCAGCACCATTGCTGCCAACAATATAATGGAGATCAATCAGAACCAGATGCATATATGCAGAATTCTTGTACTTATGAATTTGACAGGAACGAAGATGAATGGGTAGAGGACGAGATGTTCAAAGTGAAAAACATGCATGAGTATATATGTATATATATGCAACAACACCCTTGAGATAGTTGTCTCAGCTCGAACTGGTCCCACCAGACTCGGCTAGATTAGTCTCATTTTGTGGGGTGAATGGATAGATAGAGGATGAGATATTCAAAGTGAAAAACATGCATACATGTTGAGCATATAGTCATTAATGTGCAATCTAACTATTAGCTTAGGCTTTTAGTTGAGATGGAGCACATGCTTCAATTTGGTATCAGAGCCAGACCAAACTATTAGCTTAGGCTTTTAGTTGAGATGGAGCACATGCTTCAATTATACATGAGTATATATGCAACAATACCCATTATACATGAGTATATATGCAACAATACCCTTGAGACAGTTGTCTCAGCTCGAATGGGTCCCACAGAGACTCAGCTCGGCTAGATTAGTCTCATCCTGTGGAACGAACATACATGACAAGAACAACAATAAACGGATAGAGGATGAGATATTCAAAGTGAAAAACATGCATACATGAGTATATATGCAACAATACCCCTTGAGACCGTTGTCTCAGCTCGAATAATGGGTCCCACAGAGACTCGGCTAGATTAGTCTCATCCTGTGGAGCAAACATAGACGACAAGAACAAAAAAAACATGCACTAGTAAGTCACCTGATTGCTCGTGCCAAAAATGGAAGGTATGCTTTGTGATACTCTATTCTCTTAGCATCATTCTCTATGTCAAGAACTGATCCTGTCTTGTTCGGGGAAGAGTATCCTAGAACAAAACATCAAGAAATAGTTTTTTTCACAAAAGTTAAACTAAGAACTAAAAGGATTATAGTACATTGTAGTAATATTCTAGTATAGCTAACACGATGAACATATATATATATATATCGGATGACATATTATATATGGTGAAAGAGCAAACGAAGCATATGTATTCACCGTTTTCAAGTATGAACATGGGCTTGTTGTGATATCTCTCCTTAATATAATCCACGATCTTCTCGATTCCTCTGGGAACAACAAAAAATCGAGGATTGCCTGTCTGTTATACACAGAAAAGGGTTGGAATTAGTCTGAACTAAGTTAATATACAACCAGTTAATCACACTTCCATACCGGTTCTCCAATCAAAACGCCATCTCTCTCTCCTGTAGTATATAAAAATCCCTGTATAGCGTGGTCCCAGCCTTTGCTGCAACTAGATCCAGTGCAATTGCACCTCGAATAAAGGCAATCTTTTGCATACAAAGTGCCATAATGGTTTATCCCGATGAAATCAATGCTGTCTTTTATAAGGGCGCTTTCCTCTGCGGTGAAGCTTGGCAGTTCACTCCCATGATAGAAACGCATTTCGGGAGGATAATCTCCGAATACTAAAGGATCATAAGTCCTGTTCAAAGCTTATCAGAAGTGTTTTGAGCATTGTAATATATATTGAGATTTTAATTTCAACATTTCATTTAGTGTGTTTCTCTCTGCTCCTAAGTAGTAGCCCGCAAACTAGAGAGGTAAACCGCACTAGAAACATCCTGGTACGAATCGAACTCAAAAATCGAACTCATGACCTTCTGGTACGAGAATCATGGTCTGCCAACTCAGCCACCCCTTTCGGGGTAGAGATTGAGGTTTTGTCATGGAAGATAGTTGACAGTAAGACTTACCAAGCTGCATTAAATGCTAATGCCCGATTTGCAGCTTCTTGATCATGCACATCGTTTGAAAAAGGTTCGTACATGAACATGTGTGCAGTTATTCCTATCAATCCACCTTGTTTAGCCTGCATTTACACCACATTGGCAGCTAGTTGTTCACGACGAATTGAAACAAATCTTGATTAACCCTAGCTAATTGACAATGAAATGGGTATAGTACAGGCTTAAAGGTGCCTCCTACAGTTAGGGCCTGCTTAGGACACCTCGTGGTCTGACCAAAAATTGACAATGAAATGGGTATGGTAAAGGCTTAAAGGTGCCTCCTACAGTTAAGGTCTGCTCAGGACACCTCGTGGTCTGACCAAAAACTGACAATGAAATGGGTATGGTACAGGCTTAAAGGTGTCTCCTACAGTTATGGCCTGCTCAGGACACCTCGTGGTCTGACCAAAAATTGACAATGAAATGGACACTTGCCTGAAATTGGTCGCGATAAGCCTTTGCAGCCTTGCCATGTGCCAATAACATGTTGTGCATCGCGATAAGAGGCTCGACATCAGAATTCCCAACAGAACAGTTGCCAAAAGGGGGCGAACAGTGAGCAGGCGGGTACTGTCCCCTCTCGTACGCCATATCTGCAAACAAGTTTGGCTCGTTGATAGTAATCCAGTACTTCACTCTATCTCCAAAACTCTCGAAACATATTTCAGCAAAGTAGACAAAATCCTCCCTGCAAAAAACACAGATAGCCTCAAACTTTGAAAAACCGAAAAGGCTTGATAGGATATATAACATAACCCAAGCACAAAGAAAAAGGTGAGAAATGAAACCATACTGCATCTCAGAACTCAGCCAACCGCCATATCTATCCTCAAGTTCCTCGGGATAGTCATGGTGATGTATAGTCACAAACGGTTTTATTCCTGCTTACACCAGTAAATATGTAAACTTAATTACCCAGTCCATTTTTACCATCTAAAGTTAAGAGATGCTTGAATTTCACACTTTTACCTTTCGATAGAAGATTATCTATAACCTTGTTATAAAACTCAATTCCAGCTTGATTTACTCCACCAAACCTTCCCTCTGAGACACATCCAAAACTATAGTGAATAAATCTTGGGCAACCCCAATCAATTTGGTAAGGCTAATTAAATGAGTAGAAAATAAATAACCATACTGGGTAAAATTCTAGCCCATGAAATGGAAAATCTATATGCATCCAACCCAAGATAATGCATCAAATCAATGTCTTCCTGCAATAATTGAACCCAAAAAAAAGACCATTAATGGAACTGTTTATGAGAATATATAACTCACCTTCAAATGAAAAGAAAAGATTTGAACTTTTTCCTTAATCAGAATTCATAAATGCAGTAAATAAACAGTACCAGATAACGGTGGTAGTGATCATCTGCAACATCCCCATTTTCCCCGTTCTGTATTTTCCCTGTTAAACACAGCGAAACATCTCAAGAACAAGCCCAATTCATGGCTAAATCAGAGGAAAACATTTTAAACATTACCTTTAATGGTGCAAAAAACATCCCAATTATTAATCCCTTTGCCGTCTTCAAGATATGCCCCTTCAATCTAAGCCATGGCTACTCAGTACTCAAGAAGCTATCAAGAAAAAAAAAAAAAAAAAAAAAAAAAAAAAAAAACCCAGAATGCAGAAGCACAAAAGATTGCAGAGCTAAGGAGGGGAACCTGGTAAGCAGAGGTAGTGGCTCCAAACAGAAATTCATCCGGAAACTGTGTTCTTTTGAGGTTGTTCTGGTGAATCTGGGCATTGACCTTGGAGATTCCAGATTCTCCAAGAGAATCTGTGGGGAATTGTAGCAGAATATAGAGCAGAAAGAAGCAGGCTTGAGGTCTGTAGTTGACTTCTGCTCTCATCTTCGCTCCACCAGCTCAACTGTACCAGTATGAAATGTTCAGCTGGAGCTTGTCTTCTTCACTAAAACATTAACAACATTTTAAAGAGCTTGCAAAAAAATAATTGCAGATTTATTATTATTCTTTTAAAAAATCTTTTGGGATTTTGACTTTTTGATTCTCCAAATCTTTTTATTCTAATATAAGATTATTCAATGAATTAATTTCACTTTTAGTCTTCCGTCAACAAAATCGTTGAAATTTCATTAAATACAATTACATTTTGATCTTTGTTTATACAAAGTAAGTTGACCCGTTATATTTTTTTATATGTTTATTTTTAAAACAAAAAATCATAATTGAAAATCGAGATATCCTTATATTTAATGAAATTTAAACTGTTTTGTTGATAGACAACAAAAAATAGTCACACCACAATAATACTATGATCAAAAGTGAATATTAAAAGAAAAAGGAGAGAATAAAGAATTTAGTCATTATTCAATCAATACCTTATACATTTTAAAATATTTTTGGGATTACTATTTTCGTGGAGTACACCTAACATTTATATATTAATTAACTTTATAGCTTTTACAATATGCTTAACGTATCTAATTATTTCTCTACCAAAAAAAAGAAAAAAAAGAAAAATATCTAATTATTTATGAAAACAAGTAATTTGGATAAGTTGGTAAGGAGATATGCAATTCTAGGTTTTCTAAGTAAGAGTTAACGTTGCAGACAAGACGCAAACCAAATTCGTATTTGAAAATCAAGAAAATGACTTTTGAAAAATGAATTATTTTTTAGAAAATAGATTTATTTTCAGTGTTTAATTGCATTCTGTAAAAATTGTCTTGGTGTGTTTTGTTTATTTAATAGAAAATGAGTAGAATTGTATAATTAAACATTTTAATTGTATTATTTAGAATATACAAATATTTATAATAATATTAAAAACAATATTATTTATTACAAATTAATTTTTCTAAAAAAAAACTCTAGTTCCGTCGAAAACCAAGGTTGGAAACGATTGTGACCATTTTTGGTTGGTGAAAGATGAAGTCAACGGACTTGATTTTTCAAGCACATTCAAACATTAGAACCCCAGAAAATGGTATGTCCCACCAAATTACAATTTCATTCCCTCATAATTCATTCCTTCCAACCAAACATCCTATTAAAGGTGTTTAGGTGCAGAGTCTTCTGGCGTGCAATCATTATTGCATGGACCATGGTCCACACAATTGAATGGACTATAAATAAAAAAGTACATTTTTAATATACTAAATGTACATTATTTATGTACATAAGGTACATATTTTGAATGTACATTTTTAATATACTAAGCGTGTATAATTTTATATAATGTACTTTTAGTACAAAAATAATGTACTTTCATTACAAAAATAATATACTTTTAATATATTAAAAATGTACATAATATTCATAGTCCATACAATTGTGTGGACCATGGTCCACACAATAATTTACCTCTAGCATGCCGAAGGGCTAAACCTCGGTGTTAGGCAAATTATTGTATGGACCATGGTCCACACAACTTGTGTGGACCATGAATATAATGTACATTTTTAATATACTAAAGGTACATTATTTATGTATTGAAAATACATTATTTGATCGTATATATAAAATAACGTACTTTTAGTATTAAAATAATGTATCATTAAATAATATATTTTTAGTATAAAAATAATGTATATTTAGTATATTAAAAATGTACTTTTTATTTATGGTTCAAACAATTGTGTGGATCATGGTCCATGCAGCATGCAATAATGATTGTCGGTGTTAGCAGTCACGTTTGGACAGTATTTATTGGGCCTACGTTGATGGGATACTGCCATACTGGCCCACAATATTCAAAGTGTGGCCCATGACCCATACGCACAATCGTTATGCGTTGGTCCCGTGTCTAGCATGCTTGCTGGACACGGGTAACAGTGCCGTTAGGACGGCACTGTTATCTCTTTTTTTTTTTTTTTTTTTTTTTTTTTTTTTTTTAAATTTCAGACCACTTTGTTATAGGAGTATATGTTCATAATTTTATTACTATATTATTAATAACTGTACATTCATAACTCCATAACTGTATGTTCATAACTCTATAACTGTACATTCATAACTCTATAACTGTACATTCATAACTCTATAATTGTACATTCATAATTTTCGAAACTCTATGTTCACAATTTTAGAGCTCTGTGTTCATAATTTTATCACTATATGTTCATAATTGTAAGTTCATAATGTTAGAGCTCTTTGTTCATAATTCGATCAATAACTGTACATTCATAATTCCATAACTGTAGATTCATAATCTCATAACTGTAGATTCATAACTCCATAACTGTAGATTCATAACTCCATAACTGTACATTCATAATCTTCGAAGCTCTATATTCACAATTTTAAAGCTCCATGGTCATAATTTTATCACTATATATGTTCATAATTGTAAGTTCATAATGTTAGAGCTCTGTGTTCACAATTTCATAATTGCATAACTGTACATTCATAACGGCATAACTGTACATTTATAATCCAAAAAAAAAAATAACGCCGTTAATGCCGTTAACGGCAAAGCGCGCGCGATTTTTTTTTTTTTTTTTTTTTTTAAAACTAAATGACGCGTTTTTTTTGAAAAACGACGTCGTTTTGGGCCGTGTCCACAATTCACTGTGGACACGGGGGCATAATTTGCCCCATACGCAAGTACCCCAAGATAGTGATTGCATATTTGCATTTACTGGCAAATTATTTACAAGTACATTTTTAATATACTAAATGTATATTATTTTTGTATTAAATTAGATTATATAATATAATGTACACTCACTACACAAATAATGTACATTCTCTAAATATAATATACATTTTTAATATACTAATAGTACATTATTTTATCATATACAAAATATAGTCCACACAACCATGATTGGCATTTACTACACATAACTGCACAAATTTGATATCTACAAATATAATATCTATATTTTTAATTTATATAATATAATATCTAAAAGTATAACAAGTTTCAATAAAAGTTTTCACTAAAATCATGCATAACATTCGTAAATAATAATATGAGGATTCTAAATGCACCAAAATTACTAATTCACCCTTCATAAATATATGTAAATAAATAATTTTAAAAATTCATGACCATACATGAACCTGAGATCAAATGCTTAGATATGTTCTCATATAATCCTCAATTTCACAACCAACATGGTTGACGTGGTAGGAGTGTGGGATGGAGGTTTAGTCTTTTGGCTATCGGATAGAGGGATACTTTTGGGCAACAAAAAAAAATAAAAATAAAAATTCTCAATTTTACATCGATGGGCCAATTGCATTTTTGCGTGTAATTGTGTGACTAATTTTACTCTTTTTAAAGTAAGACGATGCCGTTTTTGCAACCATGTGCACCATGCATGGTGCACATGGTTGCACAACATAATTTGCCAAAGTAGTTAATATGATTGACTTCAAATTATTTTATTTTTTATTTTTTTATGGTATTAATAAATTACTTGGTAAATAAATATATAATATTATTTTGTATTATAACTTTGATATTTAATTACAAGATGGTGTAAAAAAAGATAATGGCCAATATAACTAATGAAATTGATAAGTTATTGATAATGAATAATTTTTTTTTTTTAAATAAAGGCGTTGTAAACACATAATTCTAAAATAAAGAAATGCATATGTATCATTTTTGGTTGTAGCTACTAATTTATTTAATTTAATAAGAGTAAAATAGAGTGAAGAACTTAATTATGTCAATTTTGATTGAGATGAGGTTCGAAAATAAAACTTTTTTTATTGAAATTAATGAGTAAATTAATATTTAAGGATAAATTTTTGAAATCTCAATGAAAAATTAAAATCTGAACAATATGAACCATTCATTTAATTTAATAATTTGACCGTCATTTTTGTACCCATTATATGGCTAACTTCTTTTGGCTCTTATTAGTATATATATATATATATAAGCATATAGATGTTCAAATTTTACATATTGTAATAGTATCTACTATTAGGACTAGTATTAAGATTCTATGTATTCCAATTATATTATGACTCATTATTCTAGTCTCCCTATGATTCTCTCTTGTATATATTCCCTCCGTATATATTACTGTAATTATTGTTCATATAATACAGTTTATATATACAATTCTCATTTCTACACTTCTTGAGTAAAACTAATTAATATACAATCGATATTTTATCATACTTCATTCGATAAACATTCTCTCAATGATGTTATTGTATATGAGTTTGAACTCTTAATTTCGATTCATTGAATATTAAAATATATAGGATTTTTGAGCGACAAAAACTTATATAGGGTTGATTTGCTTGGCCAACTAGTCAACTAGTTAGAAAAAAGGTACAAAGTTAAGGATAAATACTTTGAACTAAAATGTTTTTGCAAAAATCTTCAAACATTTTCAACCACTCGTGCTATTTTGTGTCCTCTTAATTGCCAATTGCAACTAAAGCTGCCTTGCCGTCTTTCCCCTTTTATCCATGCATTTATTCTTGCTTGCTCTCAAACCTTTCCAAATACATGTATGTATAATATCTATTTTAAAGAAATTGTTTATTCGCAAACTAAGATCGAAGAGTGATAGCGACAATTAGTATGAGACTGTATTATTGTTTTAAGTTGACCACAACACATGTTGGAGATAGGGTCGCGTCTATAATAATGATGGTAGAATTGACATTTCTATCACCACTTATTGCCTTCCCATCCAAGTCTCCCGAACAAGTTCAAGTTCAATCCCCTTAACATAATCGGTTTATGGTAGAGTACCGTCAAACGGCTTATCCCATCAAATAGAAACTCTAAAAACGTTGTCGTATGTAACATATTCACAAAGAAACTAATGGTGTGTTGGCACAGTTACAACAATCGTTATATCGTGCACCAGGGCGCACAATGCATTGTGCGTCTTGGTTTAAAATGACGACGTTTTTATAAGTTGGTGGGGAGTATACGCGACGGACACCTTTTCGTTCGTTCAGTCCCATTACATTTTTTTTAACACTTGAGTTTA